TCATATAAAATTGTTATATCCATTTATTTTTCAATAGATATATTTTTTAATAATGGAAGAACATATTTTCTCGCGCAATTTTCAATCTCATGAAATAAAGATAAATGATAACTGTCCTTGATTCATTGCCGAAATCATTGCTATCGGGAGCAGTCCGGAAGATTCGGGATTCGTTCCCTTCTGCAGCGGCTCTAACGTTCAACGGATCACTTAACTTTTCTTTGCGGATTGATCTTGCAGAAACTGATGTGGAAACAAGACGTTGGTCGTTCTCCACTTTTAGGATCGTTCTTCTCTTTGTCAAATATTAACCAGCGTATCACTCGGCGGAGGGAGGGCCTTGTTAAAATCGTTGGGTCTGTTATTCTCTGTAAAACGTGGCAATAACGCGATTTTTTATTACGATATTTAAAGGCTTATAAGATCCATTTTATTTTGTTAAAACAGTCATCCGTGAGATAGAATATATATATCTTATTTTTGATCGCGACATTCGTATAAAATCGCGTATTAGAAAATAAATCGGGCGGTGAATACTATATAACAAATCTCGAATGTTTTTGCATAAAATGATTGTAATTATAATGCGCACGCGTATGTGTTTGTGGATTTCGATTATTATAGAAATTACGCGTATCGCAATCGAATGTTACAAGTATCGTCGGTTTATTTATTGGTCGCGTTTGCTCGCGAATTTTAAATCGCGATTTGTTTTATAATTTAATCGTTGATGTACATCGAAGCTTTGTCTATTTTTTTGCGTCTTGAATTTTTTCTTTGAAAGTCTGCGCAAAATGCACCAATAGTGCACAAATACTTTCTTCTACAATTAAAGACGATTAATAATTTTATTAATGACTCTTTTGATCGCGATTTTTTACATTATATAAAACTTATTAAGCTTTATAATTGTATGTCGATTATTAATAATAAATATCGCGTAATTAATTGTCGCTAAAAAGTCTTGTCTAGTCTAACGTTTTCTAGTACATTTTTTATTATACGCATATTTTGGATATATAAACGCGCGCTACGCGCTGTATCATATTTTTTGTTATTATATTTTATAAAAATCTATATTGTTGTTGTATAAATTGTATTCTTTATTATATTATATTGTTTATTACGTATTTTTTATTATATTACGTTTTGTAATTATATCATATTTTATAAAATGATATAACCTGTGTATTTAAATAAAATAATTATAATAAAAATTTTATATATCTCCTCGATGGGAAGTATCTCCACCTTAACGAAGGCTTTTGCCAGGTGAGAAGATTTGAGTACTCTGATGAACCTAAAGAGCTATGCTGGCGGTAATGTAGTTACCGGTAGGGTCATCTATGCCGGATAGGTCGAGGGGAAAAAGTCAGACTAAGATAGATACCATAGATTGCCATAAAGTATTATATTTATTATATTAATATTTTTAAATAAAATGGAAGCAAAAGAGACAGTAATCGAGAGAATGGATAGAAAAAGGAACTCCGAAATATTTTCATACTTTCATCGGGATTTAGAAATATTTTGATACGTGATACAACATACAAAAAATCGATTTCTGAAAAACACAGAAGTCTATTCTAATATAATTTTTCTATAGTTTTGTAATCTTTTATTTTTTTTAATGTTTTGAGCATTAGCAGCATTAATCAATTCTTTCATGTTTATATGATCGTCCGGTAATAGATATACTGTCAGGTTTCCGCAAAATATTATACAAAAAATCAAAATATCTCTTGCAATATTGGTTGGAGCGTAAAAATTAAGAATTTCTTTTATATTTTGTGGCGTGCTACACAGGACTCTAATTAAAAAGAAATGCGAAAAAATCTACTTATTCTAATCCTTGAATGTGTCTTTATACGACATGCGAAAAATTATGATTTCCGAAACGCGGAGATTTATTCTTTTATAATTATTATATTTTCCTGTAGTTTTAACCGTGTTCTTTTGAATCTATGAAGTTTTAATCATTAACAGAGTCAAATAATTTTTTTTACACACACATATACACACATATTTTTTTACATATTTTTGCACGTTCTACTCGGATTCGGTGAGTCATTCCTCAGTGTATCACTTGTCATTTATCGATTTCAATTTGAAATTTAGAATGTAGCAACCAGTATCGCGCAGATTAAAGTTTTTAATACGAAATTGATTTTTATATTTTGTTATCAATGCAGAAGATGGTCTAAAAAACGGTCCGAAACGTACATTTTTAATGCATATTTGTCACTGAAATTTAACAACCAAAAGTTTGCACACCAATATTCGCGCTTTGCTCTTATTTGCCAGTTTCCCCATTTAGTATTTCGTGGTTGACATATGGTTTTGGCGGATCAATATACATTTGCATAAATACCTGTCTACATTCGGTCTTATCTGACTTCATCGGTAGCTCCATAAATTCTTGTAATCTTTAAATTGCGTAAGTAAAAGAAATGTAATCGCATCAATCAACGATTATTATAATGATGTATAATATTTATAAATCATTCATTTTTTTTATTACAGAGTTAATTTCTTTAAGGATATTATAAAAACTGGTCTCTTGCAAACTACAGAACAATTTGATATATTTACTTAATTTATATATACTTAATTAATATATATAGGATGTTCCACGAAAAGTGGCCATTCCGTTTTATCTTTTAAATTAAAACAGATAAATAACAAATACATATCAAATTAAATGGTTCAAATTAAACTCTATTGTGAACATAGTAGTTGCTTACAAAAGCTATCAACAAACGGAGAAGTATGCATCATTTTGTTATAACAATGTGGATATTTCGACACAATAAAAGTTGTAGCGCTGTTTGAAATAAATACAACGATGTATGATCTAATGTAAATATTTTACATATTATACGAGTTTTATCGGCTTAAAATGTCGCGGAATATTGTGAGAGAAATATTGCATTTGCATTCTGTAAATTCACTTGAACGAATTCGCGATTGATTAATCGATTTTTGGTTTTTAATATATGATTTCCAAATTGATTGAAGGAGAGTGTGGTTTCTGGATTTTTTGATATGACTCTACGTGGGGGTTGGCTATATTAGCTTGTTAAAATTGTACGGATAGATCAGTCGCATTGCGATTATCGTTAAAGTTGCGTCTCAGTAAAATGACGGGCACATCACGCGTGAAAATGGACTTAGGTCACTTGCTGGTTACACTGACGTTATTTTCCACAGGTAAAATATTTCACGTTTTTCAGTAATATAAAATATGGTTTCTCTCTTTTTTAAACAGCATTAAATTCCGTAATTATATTCCATTGGTACATATAATTATATATTTATGTATTTAATAATGTATATTTCTATAATACATATAAATTTTTATTTTTTAAATCTGGACAATTCCTAAAATATAACAATCAAGAATGTTAACTATTCGAAAGATACAAAAAAGATACCTTTAATCAAAAGATACAAGCGCTGTTATTTTTCAGAATATTTAGTTTAAAATTAGTATTTCAGTGTAAAAATCACTACGTACTTGTTGAATTTATCAGTAAAATTAATTCACAATTCACTATTTAATTCGCTCATTAAAAGATGGTGTAATGGATATGTCATTGTTATGCATTATTTGTGCGTGCTTTTACATTACAAAAGTTTCTTCCTAAATTAATTATAATTATTGGAAAATGAATATTTTTTAAGTGTAAGGGATTAAATACAGTGGTAGCGTATTTCGTATTTTGTTCCAGGCTTACAAGCAGCGGCAGCATCCGAATGGGGATATGAGGGCAGAAATGGTAATTACGATAAAACTTTTACATTGATACAATTTATGATTTGCAGACACGCTAACGTAACTATGATTTTGTGTGTATTAAATACTTCTCTAAAAGAGAAAGAGAGAAAGATCAAGTTTTCTCTTTCTCTGTCTTTATTTTAAATAAAAATAACATAAATTACGGCAACCAATATTGTGCCATTCGAATCAAGAAAATAATTATTTGCACATTATTTTTTTATTTTGCAATAGAGAAAGATTTTATTAGAAACATACGTTGACAATATACATATATATAATAATGTAATTCGTCTTTTGGGATATCTTGCAAGAATATACATATAAAAAAAAAATACATATAAACTGATTTATATATATTTTATTAATCGATATTTATATATTTATATTAAAAATAATAAAATAATAATTGTATTATAATATGTAAAAATAAATCATATTTTGCTATAATTAAAAATTCCTTTTATTTTATATAACACTTGTAACTTATTTTAACGTATTATCGAAATTGTGAAAAATATTACAAAGGTATTATGAAGCAAAAATTTTCATAGTATAAATCTCTAAATTATGATTTGTTATATACAAATATATATATACATATACATTTATACACATGCATTTAATTTTAGATATATATCTGTAATAATACTGCAAAATAATATATATGCCAAACTTTCTAATTCATTTTTGATATATATAATTAAAATTACTATCTACGGATTGCTGGATTTTTTAAATAATTCCACAGGACCCTCGAACTGGCCAGGAATTTGCGCAACAGGAAAAAAACAATCGCCGATCGATATTGTAACGAAAAATGTTATAAAAAGTGATAGCGCCGCTCTTAATTTCAATCGATATAACTTAGCGTTTCCTGCTACGCTGGATAACAATGGCCATTCTGGTAAATAAATATAGCTTGCAATATATTACGTTAATAGTTTTAGATTTATTAATTATTAATTAATAATAAATCTAAAATTTTATTAAAACGTAATTTAATTTTAGACAGATATTCTTCAGTTATTTTTTTTAAACTTTAGTTTTACAATTAGTCTATACTTTAGCAATACATTTATTATTCGATGTGTATGTTTCATATTTAAAAAATCTCTACGTATATATTTTATATTACTTCTAGGAATTTTATATATAAACAACTGCATTCTGTGCAATAAATTTACAAGCATTAAATACGTTTTTATCTAATAGTAGCAAAAGTTTATGATTTATATGTTTGAATAAAAAAAACAAAATATTACACATAGAAAAAGTTTATTTGAAGTTTAAATGATGTAATTAAAGTGTGATTAAAAATAATTAAAAAAAGTATTTTTCTATTTCTATTATAATCACTTTGTTTTCAAATAACTCAATTTTTATCATAATAGATAATAAAATTTGATTCATCGGTATATTAACTTGTATCAACAATATGAGTGTACATTTTTTAATAATTTCTTCACAGTTCAAATTATACTGCATGGTATTCCGGTTTATCTAAGTAGCGGAAATCTGCAATCGGAATATGTTTTGGAGCAAATGCATTTTCACTGGAGCGCTGAGCATACCGTAGACGGTTTACGTGATGCTTTAGAATTGCATTTAGTACATTATGATAAACAGTACGCGAATATCAGCGTAGCCATGCAACACGAGAACGGAATTGCCGTTGTCGCGGTTTTATTTAAGGTAGATATAACATTCGTTACATTGCTCTCTCATCTCTTTTCTCCGCCATCAATAATATTTTTCTAAACACAGCGTTGATTGTGATATTTTGTAACAGTTGGACAGATACGATAATCCGCATCTAAAGCCGATTATGAGAGCGACTAAAAAGGTGTTATATAAAGTGGGAAAGAGCACGGCGATAAAAGAGGAATTGACACCTTTATCGTTCCTACCAAAGAATCGCAAGACATATTATCATTATCAGGGATCATTGACTACGCCGGGATGTCAGGAATCCGTAATGTGGTTTGTTCTGACTGAAAAACTTACGGTGTCAAAAGCACAGGTGATTTAAATATAAAATTGCGCACATAGTGATTTGTTTTACGGATATTTAGATTTCCTTTTTTTAAAGAAACTAATAATAAAATTAAAAAATCTTTTTTTAAATTTAAGTTATCTTACTGGGATAATATAATAATCATATTAATATTTAATGCATTCGCGTACACACACAGGTAAACGTATTTAAACGACTTCGGGGCGACAATGGCAAGCTGAGCTTCAATTACAGACCCGTGCAGGAACTTAATGATAGAAAAGTATACCACAATTTAGAATGATTTGCGCGCCGATGAGATGGAGTCTTATTTAATAAGTTTGATTTAATCTATCCAGATACAAATGTTATACTCAATTGATTTTATTTGAAAATGGCATTAATAAAAATTTTCTGCATTATTTTCTTTGAATTGTACGTATTTAATTTTACGTTTACAAAATAATATTGTTTGATTTAGGTATGTTGCGCCCACTTGAGCACAAAGTAAATAAGAATAACATTGTCGGTTTTTATCTGAAAATAATTTTTTCTTAATTTATCTTTTTAATAAAAATTTTTTTTGTTATATCAATATTCTTCGTGAAATCCATGATATGAGAGAGACAGATATTTTACACAAATAATATTTAAATAAAAACACTGTTTTCTAAATGTTATATAAAATAATTATTAAAAAAATTTTAGCTATATAAAAAAATAATGTAGAATAAAATCATAATCGGAAAATGTACAATACAATTCTAGAAAAAATATGTTCTATCGTTTTATTAACTACAATGCTATTATACCAACACGATAACATTAAAGAACTTTACAAACTATTTTTAATTGATCCCTATGCTCTATGCTACAAGATCATACAATCTCTTTCAGTGGCACAAGAAACAATTTAATTACTCTTGTCATTAATTATAGATGTTAAGATTTAGATATGTGACATAAGAAACATATCGAAAAATTATTTGACTGAAGAGATTGTACGTGATATAGATAGTTTCGTTAACTATTCCCCTCGTAGCAAAATAAACTGCAATGAAATAACTCATGAGAATCATGACAGTTTTGGGTTAGGTTATTTCTGTGATAGATTATTTCAAGGCAGATACATGTAGATATTTATAATATAAGAGAGAGAAAGAGAGAGAGAGAGAGAGAGGGAGAGAGCGTGCATCGGAATAATACGTTGAACCGGAAAATTAAATACGTATTCTATTAAAAAGCAGATATGTGCGCATAAAAAAAGAGAATATCATTTAGATGCATTATAATGTCAATGCCATGATAGCATAGTAGCATGATAGCATAGTAGTTTTTATATATTTAATTCTTTTATAAATCTAAACTTTAACTAAATTCTAAAAACTTTTTATAATTTAATCTAAACTTTTTATATATTTAATCCCTTTATAAATCTAAACTTTAACTCAACTTTAATATATATTTATAAATATTAAAAAGTTAGAAGGGGGACTAAAAAGTTAGAGGAAGAACTAAAAAATTGGAGGGGAGACTAAAAAGTTAAAAGGGGTCTAGAAAAAAGCGCGCGCGTAGTGTGCGCCTGTGTTGTTTTAATCTATATAAATTAACCAAATTTATTAGAGAATTAATTTCTTCAAGGATATTATATTATATTAAATCATAGAAAAACTTGTATCTTCTATAAACTCTTTTAATATAAAACTTTGATAGATGAAATTTGATTTATTTAATCTTAAGTTATCTATTTATTTAATATATAAGAGAAAACAATATTATTTATAAATATTAATTAACATTTTGTATGTGATAAAATTATTAAATAGAAGTTAAATAAAGATTTTGTAAATTATCGGTATTTTTCTATTATAGTTTTTTTTATCTTCTTTTTTCTTATCTTGTACTTGACTAACATACATTAACGTGAACGCGTTTTAGAATTTTTGTATTTCTATTTATAGAGTAGTGATAATTCTTTTAAACTATGTATATTTAAGTTTACATTCCAACGACACGTTTCCGATATCAGAAAACGTAAATAATTTGTTGCAAGAAATCATAAAGTGATCAATATTTAACGATCAATCTAATCAACTAATGTAAACGATCGCACATCTTCATCTCAAACATACTATTCACAAATAAAATCGACGCAATATGATATTTTATGATGATATCAAAACTATTACTGACACAGCTGCTAATATAAATCACGATTCGTATTTAACAAGCAAGCTATTCTGACACATTGTTATTGATACGTTTTATCCGGAACTTAATCTATAATCGATTAAATTTGAAAATACTAACAATCTTATCGTAGCAATCTGATTTTAATAATTATATTAATGTTGCACAATATATGTAATGTAAAAAAAATTTTCAATTTCATGATTTGTTACATGTATTTTATAGCATTTATAGTATTTTTACTCCATAATTTCTATTTGTTTTCACCAATTATTTGACAATTGCATACCAAACAATGGAAAACTTACTTTTTATATAGACAAAAAACAATCTCTTTTTTCGTATATTAAAACTAAATTACTAGTTTCATCACTCTATATGTATGATAACATTGATAACAATCAGAAACGCATGGACTACGAATCGAATTACAGACATGTGTAATCATCAGTGAATATTTTTAATACTCTTTGATTAGTCTGCACTTATGATAACATTTACATTTATATAATAACAGTTACATTTATGTACAGCGCGTTTCAACTTCTGATACAATATTGTCTTTTTCTATATTTATATAGCTTTTTACAATATTTCTCGCTGCTTATAAAAAATTTCTTCTATAACGAAACTTTAATGAATATAGTTCTTATTTTATTAGTGCTTTTTACGCTTTCTTACATACATTTTAGCGTTATTTACAGCTTCAATAATGCACTTTGCGATCTTTTTTTGATTTCATCAATCCACAGGTTCCGACTTACAACACATCACCATCTTATAATGAACAGCGTCCATTGTTTGGTTGAGCTGTTCTTTGAGCTCTCGAGCTTTCACATATACATCCTCCTTCATCAGATTGTAACACATGGCTATCAGGCCCATGCCCAGCAGTAAATACACGAAATTGATGATGAGCTTCGTGTGGTTATCCTGCGTGGTATTGCCTTGGCTCCAGCCTGGCACTAAATCGCCCATACCGATTTTGCAGAGTGACGTGACGCAGAAATAAGCACTGTCTAAATAGTCCCATCCCTCCCATTCGGCGAACATAATCGCGCCGGCAAGAATGTAGCCGAATATTACCCAGAGACAGGCAGTCGAGGGTACGGTAATTCTCTGTCCAGGTTTCCGCTGGCCGGTGCATTCGTGCAATCGCGTGTAGAGCCATTTAAAAGTCTGCGCGAGCACGCTGCCCATGTTTAGGAAGTAGAGTACGTAAAGCGGGATGCCGAGGACCGCATATACCACAGTAGCACCCTTGCCCCACGGAGTCTTGGGCACCAGACTGCCGTAACCAATCATGGTGAACACTGACAAGCAGAACATCAACGCTGCGGGGAACGACCAGATATCGGTAGGTTCGAGGCCGCTGCAATTCTCTTTTTGTCGCGTGCTATTGGTAATGTTCTCCTGATAGCGGCGCAGAATATTGTTGGACACCACGTAAAAAGCAGTGCGGTTGAACACGTTCACCGATTGATTACTGGCAGTGCTGAACCACAATTCGTCGGCGTACTCCCTGCGAATGGACTCCCGCACACACACTCTCTCCGGTTGATCGATCAGAGTTGTCTCGATCGCCATAAAGCCGAATGCGCCCACTATAGCGTAGCCCACCACTAATCCTCCTACACCCACTTGGGTGCACATAAAAGCTACGAGATTTCGGCAACAATCCTTGACGCGCTCTCGGGGATCGATCCCGGTCGATGTCGAGGACGAATCTCGGCTTCTCAGAGAGGATCTCATTGGTAACACGCCGCGTGACATGTTCAAACACAAACTACCAGATCCGGACCGATCCGGCAAAGAGACTCGCATGGAACGCTACCTTGGCGCTGATACTCAACGACTCCCCTCGTGCCGCTTTTCTATTTCTGGTCGGAACGCCCTGCCGCTTGCTTCTCGTTTCTTCTTCGAGCTTTCGCTGCCTTCTTCTTTTGTCGAGTCGTGTGTCCACGTTGCTACGCGAATCGTTTCACTCTTACGAACAACTTCCATGGGATTAGAATCGCCCCAGTTTGAGAGCTTTTTATTAATATGCAAAGGTAATCCGTAGATTAAATTTTTTTACTGCAACATAAATTGTTTAAGGTTTAAGATCAACATTTTTGCATAAGAGAAAGAGCTATCCTCCTTCATAAATCATATATATTTTATATTATTAATGATGAATTTAATTTATTAATTTGAGTGACATAATTTACTTTAATATCATCTAAAGTATAACTTCTTTCTTTGATAGCAATGCATTTAGAGAAAAAATAGTTTCATTGATAAACGATTACATTCAAATTGATACAGTATCGAGTTTATTATTTTTATCAACACCTCCACGATCTCTACTAAATTTGCAGAAATGCGTGGACTTAAAATAATTACATACAACTGTAATTGCTGCCAGATAATATTTAGCAACAACACACACAAAAGCAATTAAAATAATTTCTTTTATGCTAAAAGAAAACATATCACAAAGAATTATTACACAGATGTGCGTTATTATTAGATACACGTGATATTATAAAACGTGAGATAAATGGATTATAAAGAAATTTCTTCTTATCGTAACTTGTTTTTATTGTGCCAATCATGTAAAATACATTCAAAAAGATGGTTGTGAAACAATATCAAGTGTGAAAGCAGCTTTAATGGCATGATGTGTCGCCGTTATCAGCATTCCAAATAGCATAACGGGTATATGAGAACTTGAAGGGGAGATAGAGAGAGGATCGTGTGATATAATAAACCGCATCATTGTGAAAGAGGGGAAGTTCTCCACTTTGTTAAATTATTTACTCGTTGCAAAACTATGCACGGAAATATGCATACATAAATTTAATATTATTTCTCGCGCATACTAAAATGCTTACTTTAACTTTAATAGTACTCGCGTCAACTCTTACGCAATTTTACTGGAAAATTTAAAGTTTACGTTGTGATAAACTGTTGTTAAAATTCCATACATTTGTATTCTAAAGATAAACAAGTTATATTTTATGGAGATACGCAGAATATTTTGGTATCCGTTCGAGCTTGTGTGCAATTGATCAATCGATTTGAGACACGCAATTCTCTCAAATCGATTAATCGAGAATACAATTTCGCGAGAGTTATAAGTCTACCAGGGGGGTAGATTGGCTAAGTCAGCTTTTCGACGAGGATTTTGCCAGATAGATCAGTCGAACGGCGATCGTCGTCCAAGCTGCTTCTCGGTAAAATGGCGAGCACATCACGTATAAAAATGGGTTTAGGCCACTTGCTAATAGTCACACTAACGTTACTTTGCACAGGTAAAATATTTGACAATTTTTTAATAGTATAGTTTCCGCATTTTTGTGTTCTGGATTATTATTGGACTTTGGAGAGGTACCAAGAAATCTTGAGAGAGATATCAAGAATTGAGATTTGATCTCTGAGTGCATAAATTAACATGTGTGCAATATTTTGTATAACTACATGTTACAAAATACCTGTTAAACATAGACGAAAGAAGAGTATGAAAGAATAAATTTAAGAAATTGAGTTATTTTTGCGAGAATAAAAGAGAGAGAAGTTAATAATATGTAAAAATAAATAGAACGATTTATTTAAAAGTTAGAGACAGCATTTTGTGTGTATGTATATGTTTAAAAATAAGTATGCATTAAAAATAAAAAAAGAAAGAAAAATAATTAAGCGTTAAAAGTAAGATGACATCTTATTTAAAAATAAAATTAAGCATTATTTACTGAATTCACGTCTGATATAATTGTTTCTTTAATATATCTGTTATAAAAAGAGATGAAAATTTAGTTTAACATACCAATCCATTTTTATTCTGCTTTTTTAAATAAAATTTTTGAAAAACATGTTCAAAAATATCTACAATATGTATGTCAGCAATGAAGAATTTCTTATTCATTCTCCACACACACACACACACATATGTTACAAAATTTATTTTAAGTTTAAAAAAATAATCATATTTTAATAGTGACATAAATTTGCTTACTTGAAAAAAGTTCTTTCCTCCAAAATATTTTTGGAATACCGAAGGTATATATATTGCACTCAATCTGGCTTTAGTATAAACTTTTTTCTACTGTATAAATTTAACTTATGAAAACGGCTTGTACACGAATGACTAATTATCTATATATGATTGAATAATTATTTTCAGCCAAAAAATGCATGTAACACTGATGGTAGCTATGCTGATACTTGCTTGTTGATTAAATGCTTCAATCTGTTGATGAATGCATGAACCGCGCGTCTAAATTTAAAATCTGGACCATGTTTTGTTTGCGAATTTAATTTTACTCGGATGATCGTAACAGTTTGAGTACGATGACAGTGGTGCATTGGCGCGCAACAATAATATAATACCTTTCTCATTTCTTGCGAATAAGATAATAACCAAATTCTAAAAGCTTTTTTTTAGCATTTTGTTATATTTTTTGTGTTTGATATAAAAAGTATATATCACATTTCTTATAGAAAAAAAAAATTATTTAAAAAAATTGCTGAAGCGATTTTGTTAAAGAGAATAGATTTGTGATCTTGATACAATAACCGAATAGTTAAAATATTTTTTGTTTCATTTTTTTATCTCTTTCATTGTTTCAATTCTCCTTAAAAAAAAAAAATAGTTTATTTAAATAAAATATAGATTGAATGAATTATTCCGTCACCATTTATTCGATTCGCGATAGATCAGTGCAGATAAATGAATGCACTCGATTATTGGGCAAATCAATTCAACTCTGGTATTCAAGAATGCCGTTTGCCTAATAGGATATGCTGGTAATCAGATGACCGGTTGGTCCGCGTCATATACTGTAGCTGCAATGCCCTGCCGCTGTACATGCTAAATCTCATGCGATAGCTCTCCTCGTGTAATCTCGGGGTTATCTAGTTAGATTTACGTCGCGTTCATCAGTCGTACACTTGTCGTCATCACGCTCGTGTGTCACCCATCGCGATCGTTTCAGGTGGCTCTCCGCGATGCATCTCTTCTGCCTAATCGTCTTTCTAGGTAAGGGCCCTACCGTTGCATTTGTGTTCGATAGCTCATTCCCGCTGTCATTACTCTTTTGTCATTTTGCCTACCAATTTATCCAGAAAATATATCAATATGAATGAAAGAGTTAATTGAAAAGGAAGATCTTTCGGTATCTTTTCCCGCGATTAATTTATTAATTTTCTTTTAATTATATATATGTGAAATATTAATATAGACAGTGCATTTGAACATTTAATTTATCTTTAGTGTGGTGATAAATTTTTGTGCAAAATTTTGCATATATTTGCATATATATACAAGTTCATTGTCAGACATCCATAATATATGTCAGTAGTGCGTTTTTCCCCTTCTTTTACCAGCTCATACAATTTACTGATATAGCTGTCTTGCGATTATTTATCTTAAATGTTCTTTTACACTTATTATCATGCTGACTGTTTTAAGTGAAATAGTTTCAAGATAATCTCTTTTTTGTCGCAAATATGCGTTTATCTATTTTAAACCAACATTATTACTGTTCTATATATTAGTTCATAAACTACGCAAAATACTCATGTTTTATTTTTCTGTTTAACTCGACTTTAAAATCACAAAATATTATATACAATAGCATTTATAAATTTTTCTACTGAGAAATTCTAGTACCTAAATAATTTGTATAAAAAACACACCACACCATGGATAGATATGAGAGATAATCTAAAGGAATATGTCTTAACAATTATTATTGTTATTAAAAATGGGTCTATTACCAAAGTTAAACATTTTATTTTCAGACTTGGTAATATCGCTAGGATAAATATTTAATAATAAGAATATAAGGATAATTATTTTCGAGTAATACATGTGTGTTCGACGAAAAGTTGATATATATGATACTACCAAGTTAACTAAACAAAGCTATCATTTTCCTACCAGTGAAATATTTAGAAACGGAGACGAAATACATATCGCGCAATATATGTCTATGGTACTGAATTATCTTGAATATCCCTAAAACTATGCACGAAACTCGTATACCGATCGGCCGATCTTGCATGCTATCCCCGCAGCGGAAGTATGCATTATGCTCATTAAAATCTGCGGGTCGTTTGAATGATTTGGCCGTTGTTGCGGCCGGCGCGCTGATCTAGAAAGCGCCGGCGTTTATCCACCGATTGTGATCCAATTGACCGCCGCACGATTGGCTTTCATGAAACGATCGCTTTTGCTCGGATTTGCCGCCTTTTTTTCTCTTTAGCCACAATGATAGAATACGATGGGGAACAAGCGCGAATTTGATGTGGCCCGAGCGGTCAACGGGGTCAATTCTGTTTCCTGTCGCGCGCGTTCAATTACTTATCGAGCCCAACGGAACGAACACGTTCGCGATATGGCGAGCTATTCGCGTGGCGGTAGCGTGGAAACAATTATTTTATTGGCAGTTCGTGCAAACTCGGCAAATTGATACCACGAGGACGAAGTCAGCGCCGGCTTTAGCTCGCGATTATTATAGCACACACGTTCTCCACGAAATCTCATTCGGAATTGTCATTCGCATATACTGCATCTAACATTACAATTGAGCAACCAGATTGAAATTAATCAAAGTAATCTCAATGAAATGTATTAACTACGGGAATGTATTATTTTATCATGTATGCTGTGCGTGTATAGTCATTTTTTATATGTAGAATTCATTTTAACAATAATTACAACTATTGTTTTTGATACTAATACTCAAAGTCTGCTGTCATTAATATCTCTAAAAAATATCTTTTATAATTTAAATAATATTTATAAATAATGTTATATATAAACACATAATTAAATTTTTTTATAATAACATGCAGAGCTTTATTTTAAAAATCTGAATCAACTACAAAATAATTGGAATTGGTATTAGAAAATGCTAAAATGCTATTTAAAAGAAGTTGTTCTAAAATATGAGAATTGTTATCTTTCGAGATGCTTTAAAATTAGCAGTTTAACGTAAGAATTATTACCTATGTATATGTGTTGAGACGATTTATGAACAAGTTTAATTCGCGTCTCACTCTTTCACTTGCTCGTTATGAGACGGTGGAATGAATGCGTAATTGCATTATTTGTGCTAACAAAGTTTCTTCCCAGATTAACTATAATCACTGAAAAATAAATATTGTTAAGTGCAAAAAAAATAAACATTGTATACTTTATTTCAGGTTTACAAGCAGTGACAGCACTTGAGTGGGGATATTGGGGCAAATATGGTAATTACGATAATTATAATAAAACTTTTATACTACACTTTATACGCATTTATAATTTACGATCGATATCAAAGATGATTCTTCAATAAATGATGCTTAAGATCGAATTAAAATGCAATGCTTGTTCAAAAGTTAATCCTATCTAAAAAAAAAGCATCAGTTTTTAAAATAGAGATAACAAAAATCATTGCCGATATATTAAGCCATTCAAGTTAAGAAAGCAATTATTTGTTCATTATCTTTTTATTTCGCAACATAGAGACGCTTTATCAGAACATTGACAATGTGTAATAATTTTGTCTTTTATAACGATATATCTTGCAAGAATATACACACATAAAAGAACATAAGCATCGATTTGTATCTGTTTTGTTAATTGATGCTTATCTATTTTACAATGGTCTTTATCGATCGCAAGACCGATGATTGTCGTGATTTTAAATCTCGATGCTCGGAAAATTTTCTTTGCGAGAAATGTACACAAAAACTATAACCACATTGTTCTCATTTAGCTTATGCGAAACTTACATGTAAGCTATTAGCGATTTAATAACGGCAACCTTGAATGTCAGTTGAAGATATTTAAAGAACAAAGTCAGTGTATTAAATTTCCTTTAACGAAATTGAAGCATTTGTGATTAAAGTAAAGATCCAGAAGATCTGTATATATTTTCTAAACAATATTACACATTTATAATTCAATGCGTTTCTATGTGTTTCTATTATGCAAGAAATATTATAATATTTCAAATTTCTGTGACATATCTATAATATTTAATATAAGTCATCAATATACGTATATAAACATTTATTAGAATGCATTCGCTATTATATATTGAGAGCGTTTATTTGTGGTAGCTATAGTTACGCTTATGCTTCACTCATTGCGAGTGAACATTACTCATATGTATGTGTGCATATTATTGCGCAAATTAGTGCGAAGGTCTAAAATAATTTTAGAGTTTCGTAAGACTACAGACTAGTTATCCACTTAATGCAAATTCTTAAAAAACTCTAAACATATATACTCGTTTAGAATATATTTGTAATAATTATAAAAGCGCTTTATTTCATATATATTGTCGCAATCTATAAAACAATCTCAAAAATTTTTTTATAAACACGTTTTTTAAATATATTTCCTTAACTTTTATTATGATTATAATTTTTTTTCTTTTTTTCTACTAAGAAATACTAATTATTAATAAATATTAAAGCCATTATCATTTTCTCGTATAGAACTGTAATTCGATGCAATGTAATCATAGCGCGTAGGTATTAATGATAATTTTAGAAATGTATAACACATATTATGTATTATGATTAAAATAGCACGTTCGCACGTTCAATCGTAACGCTACATCATTGTTCTATCGCTAAAGTGTGTTTTAGAATAAAATATTTAACGATGACGTTATGATTCTTTAAAAATCGGAAAATATTAATAGTTATTAATCGGGTTCCAGATTTAAGAGATAAAAAAAAACTTGTTATGACCGTAAAAATAAAATATAAGATATGATTTCTTATTTCTTTAAATAATTATTAATCAATGGCTCTTAATATATAAAAAATAGATCATATTTTGCTATAATTAAAAATGCTTCTAATTTCGTATAGTATTTATGTGCAACTTATTTTAATATACATATTATCAAAAGTGTAAAAATATTGGATGATTGCATAAGTTCGTGCCCGATTTTCATAGATGGCATCAAGTTACTGCATGGCGGAGTTCTATTGTTTTCGTGTGGTAATTGTTGCTTACACCGAATAGATGACGTTGTCTTATGTCAATTTAGCGTCAGACATTGTTCAGATAAGTCCATTTGTGCATAAGAGAAATCATTAAAAATGGAGAACCACAAGGGAACTTATGCAATCACCTGATATTAAGAAGCTGTTTTAAAAAAATGACGTAAGAGCTATATATGTGTGATGCGAGTTCCAAACTATAATTCTCTTTTAGCTCATATACATATAACAATATTGTTTTAAATATCTCTATAATGATACGATATAATAGTTAAACTTTGTTGCATTATGTCATAACCAAAGTTATTATGTGCGTGTGATTTTTGTAAATATTTTTTTTTTTTTTTTTTCACAGGACCAAAGAGCTGGCCGGAAATGTGTACGACAGGAAAGAAACAGTCACCGATTGACATCGTGACGGAAGATGCCATAAGAATTGATCTTGGTGCTCTCAACTTCGATCGATACGATTTCGCGTTTTCTGGCACACTGACTAACAATGGACATACCAGTAAGCAAATTGCAATATATTACATTTCAATATTTTTTGTTTTATTGGACGCATATTTTTCAATTATTTTTTTCTAATTGTCAGTATCATAGTACATTTATTATTTCTTTTATTAATTGTGTTTATTCCATATTTTAAAAGTTTCTATATTTTATATATTTAACATTATTTCTAGAAATTTTGTGTATAATTGATGATTTATATTTGCGTTGTTTAAATAAAGAAAATTTAAAATATTACTGGTATAGAATAATTTTTATTTGAGATAAATATAATACAAAATAATGAAAGAATATTAATATTTTTATCATAATCATTTTTTCACGAAATAAATCAATTCTTATCATAATAAATGTAATGAAAGAGGATTTAACTTATCATTATTTATGTCTATCAATAATTCAATTATATATTGTTTTAACAAGAAAAAGATAAATTTTTTTTACAGTACAAGTTAAATTGCATGGTATACCGATCCATCTAAGCGGCGGAAATTTATCATCGGCATACATTCTGGAGCAAATACATTTTCACTGGAGTGCCGAACATACCGTGGACGGTTCTCGTAATCCGTTGGAGTTGCATTTAGTACATTACGACAATCAGTACGCGAATTTTAGCGAAGCCGCGCAGCATGAGAAAGGGGTTGTCGTTGTCGCGGTTCTGTTTGAAGTAGGGGAATAATATCTGTTACATTGCTCGTGTCTTTCTCCTCATATCAATAATATTTTTAAGTATATTACAGACACGTCATTAATCGTGATATTTTGTTATAGTTTAATAGTTACGACAATCCGGATTTGATGCCGATTCTAGAGACGACGAAAATGGTATCAAACTGGGTGGGAAAGAATATGGCACCGATAAGAACCAAATTAATACCTTTGTTGCTTCTACCAAAGGATCATACGACGTATTATCAATATGAGGGATCCTTGACCACGCCAGGATGCCAGGAATCTGTAATGTGGTTTGTTATGACTGAAAAACTCCCGATATCGGAGGCGCAGGTGATTTGAGCATAAAATTGTGAGATAATTATATTTGTTTTAATAGACATGTAATTTTTTAAGAACTTATCATGCACATGAAATATCTTTTTATTTGAAATATCTCCTATTGGAATAATATAATAATGTTTTTAATGTCTAATATGTAATTGCATGCACACACAGGTAAATGTGTTCAAACATATTCAGAGCTACAATGGCACTCTGAAGTACAATTACAGACCCATACAGGAGCTTGGCAATAGAAAGGTGTATCATCGTTTGGATGGATATAACAGCGCGTCATCCTTGTATTCGAGTATAATTTGCACGGTTGTCAATGTTCTTCTAGTCAGTCTTTTACGCAAGAATTTTTAGTCTGAAATAGCAAAGCTGAACTTTATGTTACAACGTGTGTAATACGATATGACAATTGTGTGATATATTATTTGTTATATACATTGTTCTAGAAGAAACAAAAGATATGTATTTATTACAATGAGTGTTGTATAACTGCATTATTTCTAAGATGATGCATTGAAAGCTCTGGAACTATTACTATAATATATATATATATATATATATTAAAAGATAAAAATTTTATAAATAATCGGAATTCGCAACAGGATAGTGATAACTCTCGAAAAAAAAGTCATCCTTTGACAGATTTATGGGCGGAAAAAGAACTGAAAGCGTTATGTCGGCATCAAAATAATGTTTTGTTGTACGTATTTTTGCAGTAAGCATAATATAATTATTAAAATAGAAAATAAAATAAAATTATTAAATAATAGGAAGATACTTTTAAGGTTGCTCCAATTATAGAGTTGTAATTAAATGACTGCGCTTTTAAAATATTTGAAAAATTATAAATTACAATATTATCGAAATTTTATTATATATATTTTATCTATATTTTTTTTTATAAATTACTATGTTTGACAAAATAGCAGTTTATTGTTTGATGCAATTTATGTTTTGTATATAATATATATTTATTATATGATACAATATTTTATATGTTCTGTGTATATATATATTTTACGCGTTGTGTTACAGCATATCAATTATGTTAAGGAAACTTCTGTCTGTGAACTTCAGCCTACTATATCTTAACAGTGTTTTCCGGTTCTGTTTTTTAGGTATCCTAATGAGCACAGTACGTAACAATAGCAAACATTTTTTAATAGAATTCGGAAAGAGAATAGAAATTTATTTTAAAATTATCTCTTATTTAATAGATAATAATTTTTATCCATTATAATAAATCCAATTTTATTATATTTCATTTGTTGCTCCTCAATTAAAATTTATTTTGAGAAATTATAATAATATTTTTGTGTTGCATGAGTATATAAAAAATAATTATATATATATATATATATATGTTTCCCGATATTTTTTAAATTAAATTAAAATCAAAGAATTTATTTTTTATTTTATTATTTATTATTTTCAGATAAAAATTTGATAAACAAAACAAATATTTCGCATTTATAATTCAATTCTGAGATAAAAAAGTTCGAGCAATTTATTTAACTTTGTATATGCGGGAAATATATTTTCAAATAAGAAAGTAAAAATTGTATAATTTCCTCTTATATTTTTCATTTTCAGTTTTCTAACACAAAATATATTATAAATTTTTAGATACCATCTCTAACATTCATGGAAGGAATTTCGATTTTATCATTCGCAGCTGGTTCAGTAATGCAATTCTTTCTGTTGTGTTCTTCCGTCCAGACATTATCAGACGCGGTAAGACTTATTACATAAATGTTGAGAAAAGTAAATCGAAAATAACATATGATTAATAACTTTTTTTTTCATATATCATTCTTTTACCCAAACGTAGAGTACCGAAGTGACGAATAAAGCGTTTGATGAAAGCTGGTATCAATTTCAACCATCAATGAAACGTATATTCATATTATTAATACTGTCTAATAATCTAGAGTGTAAAATTGCGGCGATTGAGAAGTTCAACTTGTCTCTGCCTTCATTTATGGCGGTAAATTCTAACATACTACATTTATTGCTTATATAAAATTTGAAGTTTCTTACATTACATTTTTTATGATGAAATTTTAGATTATGAATCAGTCATATTCGATCGCTCTTTTGTTTTTAAAAGCGAAATAAAGCAGAAGATACATGGTGCATTCGTAAATGTAATAGGTAGAGAAAATAGAATAGAGAACAAATCAATGACAAAAAGATTAAGGAAAATTATTTTAAAAAAAGCTTGTAGAGAGAGAGATACATCTATTTTGCATAATTATTCAAGAAATATAAATATAATAAACATAATATTATTAAATTGTTAGAAATGTGATAATATAAGAAATTTAATCTTTGTTTTTTATTGATCTCTTTCCTATTATTTTTTAAGCTGGAAATGAAAGATAATATATTGGCATATAAATCTTTTTACGGCATATAATATTTGTGCTATTACCATTTATTCTCTCCAATAAGAAAAATATTAGCATATATATGTAATATATATTATCAAAATATGATTATAATATCAAAAGAAATATGTAAGAATATATATTGCACATGTGTAATGTTTATTTCTGCCAAAATTAAACATGAAAAAGAATAACAAATTGCACAAATTTGATAGCTGCCTATGAAACTTTCTAATTATGAGAAATCTTATAGAATCCATTGCCAGCAAGTATATATTTATGAAGAAGATCATTTTGAATGTCTATATGATAAATTTCATTATTGATGATAACGTACTATCTTTATATTGCGATAAAATTTGCTACAATATTTCACGAAAATAATTCCACCGACAAATAAAAAAAAAGGGGGGGGGGGAAAGACGTTATTCTAATCTAAACACATTGAAAGAGGAATATAAAAGTGTATTATCGAAACCATATCGCAATGATTCAGAAAGTAAGCGTTTACTAATTTGTTTACAATTTGATATTTTACGCTTATTCACAAATCTTTTATCAAAGGAAGAAACTTACTGTGAAGATCAATCACTGTTTAATACAGATGAATTCATTAATTGATCCATAATTAAGCTTGCCACAAAACATTTTGTGAAACATTGTCCGCAATCGATTTTTGCCCAATCTCTGCAAATTAAATTATATATTTTAATTGACAATGCATGCGTCAGTCAAACGCGCCAAATTATTCTGTGACTTCTCTGAATTTTGACAATTCTGCAATATTCGACAGAATACCATAAGATAATTGCCACCTCACAATGTAAGCTAGTAGTACAAGGAACTTAATTATCGTATGTATATTCCTAGTAAACGGAGTGAAAGATATATAGCGACATCCATGAATTATCATAGTATATCGCGACATTTAATTATAAACTATGCTTCCTTATAATAAGACACAAAACCATTTAAAATTATTATCTATTTGTTCGAAACATACCTTAGAGAATATTTAAATTCTAAAATGTCGACACACAGTGAGATTACAGACCTAGCAATAGAACAATAGAAGAGGAATCTCACTATTCGTTGTATGACTGCGTATAATATATTAATAATAGCCGAGTAGAAACAAAAGTTCAAGAAGAATATTAATTTTCTGAGTGTACGTAGGTATAATTTTAAAATACTGATAGAGAAATATGTCGTTTATATATTTTCATTCGTGCAGGAAGAAGTGTACGCGACAGTCGAACGTGAGACAGGGATTAATGCAAGTACAAAAGTCTTAGTTCTTATACGCTAGGTTTACCGAGGCAGTTCCGATTCATCGCGGATAATACAGCATGAGAAAAATAAATTTCCAAAATGTGAATACTTTAAACGATCGAGCGAACATACTCTCGGGAAATTTATTACTGATAACAACTGATGGTTCGCGGTTTGCAATACTGTGGCGCATACATAGCATCGTCGTCTGGTTAATACAGCTGATTTACACTATCGTGTTGCTCACCGGGATAATCGTGACGCCAAAAGAAAAGGCTCTGAAGGACGGTACTGTTGCCGTTGTCGTCATCATCGAGTCGTGTTTTTTGCTTACGCGTATTTACGTAAACAAAAAATTAATGGTGTCACTGATCCAGAAAATGAATAACATCCTAGAAACTGCGGACGAGATCATGGAGGATATTGTGAAGACGACTCTGAAACCAATAATAAAACCGTTCGTAATTTATGGGGCAGCTGGCGTGATATCTATTACCATATGGACCTCACAGCCTATTTTATTGGTTTTTGAGAAGACTAATTTTTCCTACGTAGATTACAATTTACCAACCGCTTTCAGCGCCGAGCCATTCTCTGTCAATATCTTGATTTCATCGACTGTTTTCATGACGATTGCCAGTATATACAGCTTTTTGAAGAAATACAGCGTGGACGTATACATGATGCATCTTGTGCTGATGTTAACCGCACAATATCGATACATAGCAATAAAATTATCATTATTATTTCGAGATTCACAGGACAATCGTGACGAGTCTCAAAGAAGGCATCATCCTATGACAAATCAATCTGCAGAAAAAGAGCTGAGAGTGTTATGTCGGCATCAAAATACTATTTTGCAGTAAGTATAGCAAAACATTTAATTATAAAATTAACTTTAATTATGAAATTGTAATTAAATAACTCTCAATGCTTTTAAAATACTCGTAAAATGATAAATCACAACATTACTCAAATCTTATGTAATCTCGTGTATATATTTTTATAATTTCTAATGTCTAATATATAGAATATTATTTATTATTTTATGATGTATATTTTGTATACATATCTATTATATTCAATATTTTATATCTTTTATATATGCATTCCACGTTGTGTTTCAGCATATCATTTTTGTTAAGAAAACTTCTATCTGTGAACTTCAGTCTATTATATCTCAACAGCGTTTTTCGATTTTGCTTCATAGGTATCCTAATGAGCTCAGTGAGTATCGATAGCAAATATTAATAAAACTCAAAAAAAATAATAATAATAAAAAAGTGTGCTTTTTTAAAAAAGTTCTCTAAATACTTATCGTTAATAGCAATTCTATTATTCTATATTAACTAATTATGTTTTATACTAGATAGTTCTATATTAGATTTTATTTAAAAAATAATATTTATTTTAATAAATAACAAAAATGCAAATTTTACATTTTCTAATTTTATTTGATATTGAATTGCAACTGCAAATTTTATTTCTTATTTTATTATATATTATTTGAGATAAAAATGTGGCAAGTATTCCGCTTTTGTAATTTAATTCTAAAATAAAAAAATAAGCAATGTGCAAAATTTAAATCATTTATTTAGTTCTATATGAACAGGAAATTTTTTCAACTAGGCAAGTGAGAAATGTGAAAGTTGCTTCTTATTTAGTTTTCTAACAAAGTGTATTTATCAATTTTTAGGTGCCATATATGACATTCATGGAGGGAATTTCGGTCTTATCGTTTACAATGGGTTCAGTAATGCAGTTCTTTTTGTTATGTTCTTCCGTGCAGACATTATCAGACGCGGTAAGACTTATTGTGTTTTATATTACTAAAATTATGTTTCTTTGTATAAGCAATAATATTTTAATATCAAAGATAACATAATTTATTAAATATTATATATACTAATTAGATTAGTCTGCACATTTTTTATTGTCATATATTTATTTATTAAAAAAGTTTTTAATAAACATAATAAATATAAATCAACAATTAATAGTAAACAAAAACTAGCTTGTATTTGTATGTGCATGCACAATATTGCTTATTTATAAAAATTATTGTAAAGCATAAATGTTGAAAAAATTAAACCGAAAAACATGTGATTATATATATAATGGCTTTTCCTTTTTTTTCTTTTTTTTTCATATATTATCCTTTGGAACCTAATATATAGAGTATCGAAGTGACGGATAAAGCATTTGATGAAGCCTGGTATCAATTTGGACCATCAATGAAACGTACATTTTTATTACTGATAATGGCTAACAATTTAGAGTGCAAAATTGCAGCAATTGAAAAATTCAATTTGTCTCTGCCTTCATTTATGACGGTAAATTTTAACATATATGTTTATTATTTATATATAACATGAAATTATTAATATTTTAATCCTCTTATGTCATATTTTTTGATAATATTCTAGATTATGAATCAATCATATTCGATTGCTCTTCTATTTTTAAAAGCGAATTGAAACAAAAAATACATCGCGCACGTTTAAATCTATAGAAGATAAAATAGAGAATGATTATCGAAGACAAAAAAAAAATTTTTTTTAATTCTCTAAAGAAAAAGTCTGCACAAGTTTGTGTCGCATAATGATCCAGCGAATACGGATCTAACAAACATAATGTTCTAAGTTCTTTAGAACTGTGACAATATATTATTAAAAAAAAAAATTAAACTTTTGTCTTTTATTAATCTTTCATCTTTTTATCTTTTTCTTAAGTTGGAAAATAAATTTATATATTTGAAGCTAATTTGTTATGTTTATAATATATATAATACTTATTCTCTTCAGTAAAGAAAATATAAGCATATGTGTAATTAAAATATGTGATTATATCAAAACATCTACGTGTAATATATATTGTACATGTCTAACTTCTTTTCTATAAATCTTGTCAATGAATAAGGCAATTTATTTTAGTTGTTGATCTGTAAAATTAATGTTCTTTGGAACACTTTGTAAAATAATATTTCAGCATGTTAAATTATCGCAAATCAGTCTTTAGTTTATCGACAAAACGTCATATTTCATAAAAATACATAAACATAATAATTTCATCCCTTTTTCAGTATTTTCATCCAATTATATCATATTATTGCATTTTATAAACTTATGTTTTTAATTTACCAAGGCAAATTAATTTTAATGAATAACAGGTGTATGAAGAATAAAAGAAGAATAAAATTTATTTTAAGCATAATATTATGATAATTGTGCAGTCGTTGATTTTGTAAAAACCATTATACCATATTAATGTATTTGCATACAATATATAAGATAATCAAATGTGCTACGCGCGTAATGCGCGCTTGTAATGTTCTAAATAATTAAGTCAAAAAGTAAAATAATAAAAAAGTTAGTGATCATACTTACCCTTGCGATAAACGAAATACAAAATATATAAACTTGTTCAATGTCTTTATTTTTAGTATCGCAATATTTTATTTATTAATATTTTTATTTTTTCGATAAAATATAAAATCCTTCCAATTATTATCCAGAAGTGCTATATTATGTTCACGATATTTAAACTCCAATACATCTGTAAAATAATCACAAGAACAAGTTGACAATTACGATAAAGGAAGCAGGAAATGCTACTTCTAACTGTATATAACATATTAATCAAAGTCAAATGAAGTAAGAAATTTAACGGAAATATAAAATTGCTAAAAATAATCAGTCATCGGCCAATTATCTCAAGTTACTAATAAAAAAGTTACGTACTTCCATTTATAAAAAGCATTAGACGATCATTAATAAAGATACAATCATCGACTTCTGCAAACCTCGTTTATCAATATAATTCTAATTTATCGCAAACAAATGAAAAACATCGAGAGCATAAACTTTCGGTAAAGTTTACGATATGGCGGATATTGATCTTACGTTGTTATTCGGAATGACCTATTTGACAGCATTGATACCTGAGTTTATCCTGGCATTTAAAAAAACATTGAAGAACAGCATCGTCGTCGCCATGATTACTATAGAGTTGCCATGATAATGTATCTTTACACACACAGGAAACTGATGATCCAAGTGACCCAGAGGATGAATGACATCTTCCGAGGACTGGATATTATATTTTAGCTGTTAAAATAATACGTAATATCCCTGAAATGTATTAACATTTATATTTTTGCAAAATCCATTACTGCAAGATATAGATAAAAAAGTATAATGGATAGATTTTAAAATATATGTATTTGTTGGAGTCTGCTGATAAAAACGTTTTACAACAAATAAATATTGCAAGAAATTAATAACAAAAATAATTTGATAAAATTAATTATATTTCTTAATAGTTAAAAGTTTTACATGTCTAACTCTAAGACATCTATCAATAATGAAAAGAACTCATTGCAGTTGTTGAAAGGAATGAAATAATTCAAAATATTGTTTAGTATTATAATATACATACATATTTTTTTCGATGTATTATTTAATGATATTGTCACTTTTATATTCCAGATGTAACCGGTGAAAGATCAGTTTTCAGTATGTTCTCGCTCAAGAGTACATCAGATACTGCAGCGTTATTAGATATTGCAGCGTTTTCTGAATTCGAGACTATAACAAAGGATGTAGTGCCATAAGATAATCGTCGCTTTATAGAGCAAGGATAATTACAAAGGCGCTTAGAGTCGCTTTCGCATCCCCTTCTTAAATAAAATAAAGAGAATCATGGCATACCTTAAATTTATCGCATATATTATAAAGAAGATAAATTTTAATCTTTTATTTCTTTATTAAAGTCTAAAGGTAAAAGCTTTCTGTCGATAAAAATTAATTTATCATGCATGTCTGAACTATCATTGTAGCATAAAAGTCAATAATTTTTACAAATGAGAAACGATATCTCTGTGCTTATTTTATGGTAATGCAAGCTATTTATTATAGTGCAAGCTATACGAATAAATAAAAATTCAAGAAAAATAAGATATTGTTCAAGATTGACGGTTGCTTGACCAACTTTCGCCATTCTGTATATTCCGTATATTCTTCCGACAAAAAATTATATGTAATAATGGAAAAAGATCAAACGGGGGTAAATACGAATATACAAGCAAATACATTTACATACTAGAAGCAATTGTTGCATTTTAACTAAATATTCTTTTAGTTTAATTAATAGCTTAAAATAATATTCATAAGTATATTAAACGCGTAACATAAAGAAAAATATTGAAGACGATTTTGGCAAACTGTATTTTGCGCAGTACTTTGCATTCATCACGAAGGAACAGCATGAATTTTCAAAACGTAAATCCTCTAAACGTTCAGTTAAACATGCTCTCGGGCAATTTGTTACCGATGACTAGCAACGATTCCCTGTTTCCTGCAGTGTGGAGAATATATAGCGCTATTATATGGCTGATCGAAGTGATCCAAACCAGCGCAATAATTCCTGGTGTCATGTTCGTGCCCAAAGATAAAGCTCTGCAAGACGCAACGGTTGGTATTGTTGTCACCATAGAAGTAATTTTCTTGCTCAGGCGAATGCATGTGCACAGATTGTTTTTGAATCAACTAATACGCAAGCTAAATGATATTCTGTGCGCGGAGGACGAGACCATGAAGATTATCGTGAAATCAACTTTAAAGCCGGTACAGACTCCGCTCAAGTTTTACTGCATAGCAGGAACTGGATCCATAATAGTGTGGTGCTGCCTATCTTTCGCGTTGGTTTTCAAAAAGAAACATTTTCTCTATGAAGATTATAGACTACCGATTGTTCTTTCGAGGCAACCATTTTCGACAGAAATTTTCCTATTGGGAAACTTTATCGCATCTGTCGCCAGTGTGTACATGTTTATAAAGAAGGTCGCTTTGGACGTCTACATGATAAATCTTATTTTACTGATAACAGCGCAGTACCGCTACATCGCCGCAAAACTTGCAATACTATTTTGCGAAGACACTTTACGAAATAAATCTGAAAAAACAAGTACTTTTCTTGCAGATTCGTTAGAGAGAGAAATAAAAGCGTTATGTCGACATCATAATGTTGTAATTCAGTAAGTAATCGGTGAACATTTGCTAATTTATTTTCTACATAATATTGTTGCTTTACATATTCTTAAAATCATTCATTTTTATTCTATTTTGGTTCATTTTACTACTGAAGCGTAATTGCTTAATGTTTGTAATAGGCATAAATATCTATAAGTCATTATGTCATCATATGATTTTAAATACGTATATAATCATTAAATCTTTTTCAGAATGACTTTAATGCTAAAGAAATTATTATCTGTAAACATGAGTTTATTATATTTGACGAATATTTTTATTTTTTGCTTTCTTGCCATCATGCTGATAAGTGCGGTGAGTATAATAATTAATAACTATTAATTATACTAGAAATGCATTATAAGCAAAAATTAGAAATGTTCAACATTATTGAATTATCATTAACATTTTTTACCAGTATAATATTTTTCAACAATTAATGTGTTAAATGTAGATATTATCAAAGGCTACCTTAGAAGCAGTCATGGTCATCATGTACATATCCGGCGGATTAGTACAGCTTTATATTCTATGCTTGTGCGTTCACCAATTATTAGATGCGGTAAGTTTTATTGAAGAGTGGTCATCTTTTCTTTTACGCCATTTAATACTTAGGAGTTAAAATAATGAGTTAGGAGTTAAAATAAATAAATAAAAAATAATTATATGAAAAGAGGAAAGTTATTTTTCATTGCTAAGAACAATTGAAAATGGAAGATATCGATATATACATTATAAAAAATTAAAATTTTGTGATTGATAATTGTCTCTTTCATGTATTATCGTTTTGTTTTAAATTTAGAGTACAGAATTAACGAATAAAGCGTTCCATGGAAAGTGGTACCAATTTGAACCATCACTGAAATACGTATTTATGATGATGATAATATCCAACAATTTAGAGTGCAAACTTTCGACATTTAAAAAATTTAATTTGTCTCTTCCTTCCTTCATGACGGTAGATAAAATTTATGAAATGTATATTATTAGCAAGTACACTAGACATATCAACGTTTAATTATTTTTATTAATTTTATAATAATTATTTAAGTTTTAATTCTACTACCAATGTGTTATTATTGCTTTAACTTATTTTTTTTGCATGTTTCTTTAGATTTTAAATCAATCGTACTCGTTTGCTCTTTTATTTTTAAGAATAAAATAAAGATTTATAAGGTACGCTTTTTACTTATTATAAATATATTATACTATAACTTTTATATTTTTGGAATTGCTACTTAATAATTATGTAAAACTATTATAACTTATATGTTATATAAATGATAAAATTTTATTACGTATATAATTTTATTATAATTATATTATAATTATTATAACTTGTGCGTGTATGTTATATAATAGAATAATTATTATATAATTATCTTATTTATGTTGCTAAAAGCATCTAACCAATTTATATTTTGTTTTAGAACAGAAGATAGAGATATTTGAACATAAAAAAACTTTATATTATAAAAAATTGTTTCGTCAAAATTCAGATCTATTATCAACGATTTTGTTAGAAAAATCTTTGATTATTATACATGCATCCAGTAAAATAGTGCAATATATATATATACTGTATTTTTGTGCAACAGTTATTAAATACGATAAATATTATTATAACATATATATTATTTTTTATTCTAAGATTAGATGCTGACTTACAAATTTCCCAGAAGTTATTTATCAAATAGAATCGATTTTTGTTACTCACGGATATGTATAAAGCTGCTTCTAAATATCTAACAATGTTATACATTTGATGAACATCGACAAATAAATTCAGAGATTTAATTTATAACAAATGATTTCTCTCGCTATTCTCTACCGCTTTTTTGAAGCACGCATCAAATGGCATTCGATACTGCAGCCTTTCGCAGTTCTGTAGTTTTACAATGCGCGTACAGTGGACAAAATACTATAAGATAATTATCACTTCGTAAAACATGTACTCTGTAGTTACAAGAAAGTCGATGGTTCTACTCATCACTGTGATAAATATAGTAAAATATAGCTTTTTGTCTTTTCATTTCTTCACATTGAAGTACTTATTTATCAACTTTTACATTTTCATATAAAAGAAGGCTTCATTCTTTGTTCGAAATCTCTCTACATATTTTATTGTGATATTCATGTATACGATAATTACAGAATAAACGTGGATAATAAAGAGAGCGGAATGTCATCGTTTATCATTTAGCAGTACAATAATATCAATATCAAATAGGAATCCAAAAGGAAAGTCACGCATATTCTTTTGAACGGAAAAGGAGGACATATACATGCGACAAAGCAGTATGAAACGGGATAAATACAAATACAGAGAGTCACACACCGATTCCGATCGACGATATCGAAAGAGCCATGAACTTCCAGAGCGTAAATCCTCTAAATATTCGACTGAACTTATTCTCGGGCAATTTATTACCGATGACCAGCTACGATTCATCTTTTCCATTATTATGGAAGATATATAGCGTCTTTGTGTGGATGATCGAACTGATCATAGGTGCCGTATTAATCCCGGGTTGCATGTATGTGTCAACGGAAAAGGTTCTGAAGGACGGCATGATTTGTTTCGCCGTCTTTATAGAAATGGCTTTCATGATCGCGCGAATTCATATTCATAAGGATGTGGCGAATCAATTGATTCGAAGACTGAATGACATTTTGCGCACTGCTGACGAGACCATGAAGAGCACCGGTGGAGCCTCCGCTCAATTTTTACTGGTCGGCCGGCGTGGCATCGATAATAGCGTGGACTTGTATACCGCTTGTATTAGTATTCGAGAAGAATCTTTTCTACTACGAAGATTACAGAATACCTGCCGCTTTCTCGAGGCAGCCATTTTCACTTGAAGTCTTTCTGCTGGGAAGCCTGTTCTTAATGATTAGTGCCGTATATATGTTTTTAAAGAAAGTCGGTGTAGATGTATACATGGTGCATCTAGTGTTGATGACAACGGCTCAATATCGATATATTGCAGTGAAAATTGCAATGATATTTCAAGAAAATGATGAAAATAATAAAGAGCATTCTTCTAAGTCAAATCAAAGAAAAGAAAAGGAAATTATAATGCTATGTCGGCATCACAACACTGTGATTCAGTGAGTATTGTAAAATTGAATCAGCGACTTTCCCAGTCTCCTAAATATAACATAATAATAATAAGAACATGGTAAAAATTAGTACTTATGCAAATATAAGTTACTTATTTGTATTAAATTTTTGAAGCTTTTTGTATATGTTTAAGAGTTAATTTCTAAGTTTATTAATTATGAATTTATTTTTAGATTAATTTTTTAGTACATTTCATAATATTTTGCATATATGTTATATTTTTTTCAGTATAACTTCGTTGCTAAAAAAACTGCTATCTTTGAACTTTAGTTTAATTTACATGAACAGCGTCTTTCGATTTTGCTTCATCGGTATCATGCTGAGCATGGTGAGTAATAATTAACATTAATTATATAAAAAATTTTTCCGGGTGTTATAAAAAACAGTATATATATATATATATATATATATATATATAATTGCGCAATGCTAGTTACAAGCTAATAACTCTAAAAATATTTG